TCTGATGTATGACTGACTCATATGGCACATCTCAGTTTGGATCAGCCACATTTCAAGTGCTCAGCAGCTGCACATGGCCAGTGCCTACCATCTGCGCAACACAAATCTAGACTGCTTTTTGGACCAATTTAGTTAAGTAATGAGTCAACAGGAACAGGTATTTCAACAGCGACTCTTTTTCACCACATGATATTGGGAATGTTTAAGTTTTACTTTTATATTTTAAAATTCTTTTTAGAATAGTAATTTTCCTTCAAATTCTTTTCGTGTCTCATTTTGGCTGACTCTGTTTTAACCATAATTTGAGGTTATTCCTATGTCCTTCCCAACTTCCCTTCATTCTGCTGGTTAAAGAAGAGGTGACTCCTTTATTCAATTATAGACTCTTCCCCAGTGAGTCAATCCCTGGGAGAGGGACAAGGAGTCTATGGTTCACCTTAGGATTGTCAGCCTCTGTCATAATGCTTAACACATAGTAGGCTCTGAAGAAATATTTTTGAATACACATTAAAAGGTGAACTAAGGTTGACAACAGTGGTTCTCAACCTGGGCTGCACACTGGAATTACAGGAAGTTAAAAAAGAAACAAAAAAAAGAGTGCTGATGCCTGGTCTCACCCCCAGAGATCCTGGAAGTAGGTCTGAAATTTGGCTTGGGTGTTGAAATTTTAAAAATCTCTGCCACGCAATCCTAGTATGCAGTCAGGGTTGAGAACCACTGCTCTAGGGCTTTCTTAGGACAGCTTACTCTGGCCACATCCTTGCTTTCTTGACAGAAGGTTCAGTTTGCTTCAGCTTCATTCCTACTCTCAGAACAGAAGTTTCTTAAGAAAACTTGTAGAGAAGAAACTAAAAGAGAATTCCCAAGAATGATCTGCAAATCCTTTTCCAAGGCATTGAAGAAGATTTTCAGTGTTTTAAGTCTATTCATATTTATCTTTTTCCAACAAAAGGAATAAAATTCACAATGTAAGTGTTTTAAAATGCTAGCTAATTGGAAAAGATCATAAGGCCATTATAGCATACAAATGGATAACATCCAGGCATTCTCACTGCAGAATTTTTTAGATATAAAATAGCAATTAAAAATAGAAATGGACAGCCAAGACATGGAAGCAACCTAAATGTCCACTGACAGACAAATGAATAAAGAAGATGTGGTATTTATATATATATATATGTGTGTGTGTATGTGTGTGTGCGTGTGTGTGTGTGTATATATATACTGTGCTTAGTCACTCAGGCATGTCCAGCTCTTTGTGACCCCATGGACTACAGCCTGCCAGGCTCCTCTGTCCATAGTGAGTTTCCAGGCAAGAATACTGGAATGGGTTGCCATGCCCTCCTTGAGGATCTTCCCAACCACCCAGGTCTCCCACATTGCAGGCAGATTCGTTACCAGCTGAGCTACTTGGGAAGCTCACATATACACATATATACACATACATATATATATATACACACAATGGAATATCACTTAGCTATAAAAAAAAAAGTGAAAAATCCCATCTGTAGCAACAAGGATGGACTTGGAGATTATTATACTAAGTGAAATAAGACAGGTTAAGACAAATATCAAATGTTATCACTTATATGTGGAATCTAAAAAAATGATACAAATGAACATATTTCCAAAACAGAAAGAGATTCACAGACAAAGAAAATAAAGTTATGGTTACCAAAGGAGAAAGGAGGGGTAGACAGAGGGATAAATTAGTAGTTTGGGCTTAACATATACACTCTACTATATACAATATAGGAGAAGGCAATGGCAACCCACTCCAGTACTCTTGCCTGGAAAATCCCATGGACGGAGGAGCCTGGCAGGCTACAGTTCATGGGGTCGCTAAGAGTCGGACATGACTGAGCGACTTCACTTTCACTTTTCACTTTCATGCATTGGAGAAGGAAACAGCAGCCCACTCCAGTGTTCTTGCCTAGAGAATCCCAGGGATGGGGCAGCCTGGTGGGCTGCCGTCTATGGGGTCGCATAGAGTCGGACACGACTGAAGTGACTTAGCAGCAGCAGCATACACACACACACATATAGTCCACCTGAAACTAACACAATACTGTAAATCACCTGTGTGTCAGTCACTCAGTTGAGTCTGACTCTTTGGGATTCCATGGACTGTAACCTGCCAGACTTCTCTGTCCATAGAATTCTCCAGGCAAGAATACTGGAGTGGTTTGCCATTCCCTTCTCCAGAGGAACTTCCCAATCCAGGGATCAAACCCTGGTGTCCTGCCTTACAGGCAGATTCTCTACATTTGAGCTACCGGTAAACGTCAAAGGTAAATCACCTAGACTTCAATAAAAGAATTTTTAAAAATCCAGAAATGGGGGGAAAAGGAATGAAATTTAAGCACACATGAGCCTCATTTCAAGTTTCCTATACATATGTCAAAAGTAGAAATTATTAATTTGAGGTCAGTAAAGGGAAATATTGTGTGCTCTTCTTTAGGCCATTTAGGCTATATATGAAATAAACATAAAGCAATGTATCATAGCAAATAAACAACTGACAAAGGATTAATTTCCAAAATATACAAACAGCTCATACAACTCAATGCCAGAAAAACAAACAACCCAATCAAAAAGTGGGAAAAAGACCTAAACAGACATTTCTCCAAAGAAGACATACAGATGGCCAACAAACACATGAAAAGATGCTCAACATTGCTCATTATTAGAGAAATGTAAATCAAAACCACAATGAGGTATCACCTCACACTGGTCAGAATGGCCATCATGAAAAAGTCTACAAACAATAAAAGCTGGAGAGGGTGTGGAGAAAAGGGAATGCTCTTGCACTGTTGGTGGGGAATGCAAATTGATACAGCCACTATGGAAGACGGTATGGAGACTCCTTAAAAAGCTAGTAATAAAACCACCATATGACCCAGCAATCCCACTCCTAGGCATATACCCTGAGAAAACCAAAATTGAAAGAGACGCATGTATCCCACTGTTCTTGGCAGCACCATATGCAATAGCTAGAACATGGAAGTAACCTAGATGTCCATCAACAGATGAATGGATAAAGAAGTTGTGATACATATACACAATGGAATATTACTCAGCCATAAAAAGGAACACATTTGAGTCAGTTCTGATGAGGTGGATGAACCTAGAACCTATTATACAGAGTGAAGTGAGTCAGAAAGAGAAAGATAAATATTGCATTCTAACGCATATATACAGAATCTAGAAAAATGGTACTGAAGAATTTATTTACAGGGCAGCAATGGAGAAACAGACATAGAGAATAGTCTTATGGACAAGGGGAGAGGGGAGGAGAGGGTGAGATGTATGGAAAGAGTGACATGGAAACTTCCACTGCCATATGTAAAGTAGACAGCCAACCAGAATTTGTTGTATGGCTCAGGAAACCCAAACAGGGCCTCTGAATCAATCTAGAGGGTTGGGATGGGGCGGGAATGTGAAGAAGGTTCAAAAGGGAGAGGATATATGTATATCTGTGTCTGATTCATGATGAGGTTTGACAGAAAACAACAAAATTCTGTAAAGCAATTAGTCTTCAATTTAAAAAATAAATTAAAAAAAGCAACGCATCTACTTTATAAATCACATCTAAAACCTAATTTTAGCCACATAACTCATAAATGTCGGTGTTACTGTCTGTTCTCAAAATGATACCTTGGTCTGGCGGCAGGACTTCCATCATATTTGAGGTTCAGCTGTGGCCAAGAGAGAACTCTGACTTCTGCTTCAACACCAATGAGACCTCATCCAGGATGAGGGAGTAATGAACTCTGTACCAAGGGGCCAGTCAGAATGAAGTTTGTCTGACTCATGGACTGGGAATTTCCCTGCCAGTTCCCAAGGTGGTTTGGCCATACTTGATGGATTTACTCTGCTTAAAGGTCTTTTGTTGATAGTTTGGTATCATGTGGCCTTATTAATAAATAGAAACAGCATGCTAATAAAACACTAAAAGTTCCTACATGCATTTCCCCTGGTTTTCAAGCAAAGACAAAAGCCCCCTCTTACTAACCCACACTTTTTTTTTTCTTTATTTAGATATAATTGATGTAAGACAGTATACTAGCTCCAGGTGCACAACATAATGATTATATATATATATATGTAAATATATATATATATATATATATATAGTGAAATGATCATCACAGTAAGTCTAGTTAACATCTGTCCATGTAGAGTTACAAATTTTGTGTGTGCGATGAGAACGCTTTAAGATCTACTCTCTTAGCAACTTTCAAATACACAGTGCAGTATTATTAACTACAGTCACCATCCTATACATTACATTCCCCATGAGTTATTTCTTTTACAACTGAAAATTGCATCCCATACTTATTTTTGTTTCACATCATAAGTTGGATTTGAGAAATCAGAATAGGAAATATCCAAAAGGCATTAAACTTTCATACTCACTACCAGGGCTCAACAAAAGTTCCCCAGTCCTGCCAAAACCATGGAGGAAGGAACATAATTCGGTAAGATTTTTAAGTCAGTACTGGGTCTCATGCATATCACTTCCATCTGCTAACCCCTGAGGGCCGATGGGTGCCAAGTGATTGGATATGTGACATTCACCTGGCCCCAATTTTCCTTTCTGAGAAGGAATGGAAAATACAATACCAGTTTCCAAGTTGCTCCACTCATAAAACCAGAAAGATAATCACCATCCGCCTACACGACTGCATAAGCCTTCCATGGCCGTCACTTTGTCAGTTCACAGGTATTGAGGATCCTCTTGGGAGCCATCAGGAGACAAAGAGAAAGCTTTCCCTCGCGAAGTTTACAGAAACAGGAGTAATGCTAAAGGATTTAAACTATTACAGCACATTTGAAAGGTGAGATAAAGGTTACAGGACAACTTCATCTACACTGAGCACAGACCCACCAAGGGGAGATGGGCTAATGGAATCCTGGGTGCTGGGATGTGCAGGGCGGTGGGGCTCGGAGAAGATGGGGGATAGGAGGGCGTTTCAGAACGCCACACCTCCTACCTTTCTGGAAGAACTCTTCGAGCCTGTCCTTGAACGGTTGCAGATACTCCTCTGGCGACTCCTTACACACAACTGCCATCTGTTTCTCACTTGCTGTGAAGAGAAGGTGGCAGTGAGACTTCCCCACGAACACAGATTTGCTGAACTCATGCTCTGTATTAAGTGTGAAATCCTTACCCATCACTACTTATCCAAATTACAGGGCAAAAAGCAAAAACAAAAAACAAAAATGATTACTCATTCTATACCTTTCTTCAGGAACAGGGAAATGCATCACCTTCAACCTTTTTTTAAATTTTTTTAAAGAAACGCAGCAAAACTTCTGACTTTGCACAGGTGTAAAACTCTGCTTTTTGGTCTCTCGAAAAGAGAGGCAAAAGCAACATAAGGACTAGTCCTCGCAAATGAAGAGCCCAGAGCCTCTTCAGCTTCACAGTTCAAAAGCTTAAAATAGATGTTGCCAAAATTCTCAGGTCTTGAACCACCATACAGCATGAGAAGCCAGGTTGGGGAGGATCAAACCTCTCTTCACTTTTGTTCACCTACCCTTCCCATTAATATTTTTCTAAAACATGTGAAATCATTTTAAATATGATTTACTACAGACAGGATATCCAGAATTTACCATATGTTGTTCTTTTGGTAATCAAGACCCCTCAGATAGTTTTCATTTGGTGACATGAAAACTACAATAACCAGTATCAAATCTGTCACAAAAGGCAGTTAACCCAGGCAAGAGGCATTTTCCCAAATTTTGATATGTTTGTACATTGGCAGAAATGCATTGGGTAGAAAAAAAGGCTTCATTCCTCCCAAGCTAGAGCTGAGTCATGCTTACTTTTGTCTGTTGATCACGGCCAGAAATTACTGACATGCCATTGTTCAAGAGAATATATTAAAGCATCAGATTTTCACCATAAAGAAATCACTATTAATGGTTCAAAAAACAGAGAAAGGTATATTCTTGGAGGAATTTACAGAAGCACAAAGGAGGTATTTTGGAAAAGTACGGTTAGAAAGAATGCCTTTATTTATGTCGGGAAATTAGTATACAAGAACTTGGCGTTTCCAAAACCAGCATCCCAGAATGTTTACCATGAACATGTGCAGTAATCTACAAGCACAACAGCCCTGAAACACAGGAAAGGCAAAAGAGGTCCTTCGAACACTTTCTCTTACAATATTGCCACCTAGATTGCTGAAATCCTAGATGACTCTGGGAGATGATCAGATTGTACTGTAGATGAAAGCATGGTGGGAGGGAATTCTGTTAAGTTCAGCATTAGCTGCAATCTCAGAGTCACCTCCAGGGATTCCCTCCTGGGATCATGAGGCTGATTATAGGGCACAAGGGCCTAAATGCAGGCTCTTCCCATTGACACTGTTATTTTCCAAAAGTTTTTAATAGAGTTTATTTTGAATATCTATGATGAACTCTTCTGATAATCACTCTAGTGCTATCTAGGAAAACTTTGTCCTCTGGGATGCAAAGATTCATTTCTTTCTTTTTTTTTTAATGTTCCATCTTATCTGGAACAAATACCTTAAAACCAGTCAATCATTATTTCAAAACATTCCTCCCCCGACTCCTACATTTTTATCTTTATTTGTCAGTATGTTTGTCCTCTCCACAATACCTACTTAATAATTTTCTACTGTTGTATGATTTTCCTTTACCTCTTTGCTAGTTCTGTCCTATGAACCTAATACTCTACCCATGTTTCTCAAACGTATGTTATATCAACATGTCCAAAATTTGTGGTGGTGGTTTACTCGCTCAGTTGTGTCCAACTCTTGTGACCCCATGGACTATAGCCCACCAGGTTCTTCTGTCCATAGGATTTTCCAGGCAAGAATACTGGAGTGGGTTGCCATTTCTTCTCCAGGGGATGTTCCTGACCCAGGGATCGAACCCGGGTTTTCTGCATTGCAGGCAGATTCTTTACCTACTGAGCTACCAGGGAAGTATGTCATTATATTTTATCCCAAGTGGGTCCTCCACATAAGCCAGTTATTAGAGCAAGAAAAAGGAGAGCTGTCCTTTTCTCCTCTGTTTTTGTATTTTTCATAGGTTATCTAGTCATGTAACTTCTAAAAGCTTTATCAGTATGTGCATTCCTTGTTTAATTTTTACTGTGACCAAAATGATAAGTACCTCCCTTCCCATCACTATTCTATTATCAAAATAATGACTTTGGGCTAGAGCTATCAGAGAGAGAGGGGAGAGGGATAGTGTAGATTGAGCTGGAAGAGGTGAACGCATTGTTTCTGTTCTATTCTTTTTTGTTACAAGGGAGAGGAGATCAAAACTTAACTTTGAAACTTAAGTTTTCTGTGGTCTCTAAGGATTAAAATGCAAGATCACCCACTGAAAACAAAAAGGCAAAGGGACAAAAAAAAGATGAAACTCTTAATGGATTCTTGTTGCTCATTCAAATGAATTCAAACTTCCGGGCTGAGATTTAAGGCCTTTCCCTTTTCCAGCTTTATTTTCCCATATAGTTGACTAATGAGACCAAAATTACACAATGTTTCCAAATTACATTAACCAGTGTTGCCAGCTCCATGCCTCCACTTATGTGGTTCTTTGCCCATCCTGCTCTCACTCCCTACATACTTTCTAGTGCATTTGATAAAATCCTATTCATTCTAAAAAAGTTTTTCTAAGATGCTACCACTACCATAAAACCCTTCCAATCCAAAGTTTTTTAATCTTTTGAACATCTATCTTCCAGAGAGCATTTATGTTTTACCTTTTATTATATTTGTCTATTTATATTAATCCCTGCAAAATCACCATGCAGGTTTCATTTACTCATCCCCAAACTTTTCCAAAGACCTCCATGCATCTGGCCAAAGCATCAGATATCCTCAACAAGATTCTTATGTGGAGGAAAGTGGAAAAAAATTTAGCAATTTTGACCCAGACTGAGTGGCTCTCCAGGGGTGTAATATGACCTCCTTGTCTCTCCACTTTTTCCTTCCTTCCTGGGGCTTGCCTGGTGACTCAGATGGTAAAGAATCTGCCTGCAATGTGGGAGACCCGGGTTCGATCACTGGGTCATGAATATCCCCTAGAAAAGTGAATGGCTACCCATTCCAGTATTCTTGCCCGGAGAATTCCATGGACAGAGGAGCCTGGCAGGCTACAGTCCATGGGGTTGCAAAGAGTCAGATGAGGCTAACACTTTCACTCTCCTTCCGAGGTACATCAACAGGTCCCAGTCTCTCTATTCTGCAAACACTGTGACTGTCCCAAGCTGATGTGAAAATGCTGAGTGTATTTTAAAGTATCCCCCAGATGTTTTGAGAGAACAGCATCGAAACATGTATATTATCTAGGGTGAAACAGATCACCAGCCCAGGCTGGATGCATGAGACAAGCGCTCGGGCCTGGTGCACTGGGAAGACCCAGAAGAATCGGATGGAGAGGGAGGTAGGAGGGGAGATCAGGATGGGGAATACATGTAAATCCATGGCTGATTCATGTCAATGTATGGCAAAAACCACTACAATATTGTAAAGTAATTAGCCTCCAACTAATAAAAATAAATGGAAAAAAAAAATAAAGTATCCCCCAAACATCTACCACTTCATGCTGGAAGGCACAGGAAAGTAGCAAAGATTATTCTGCTGAATGAATAGTTGTGACAGCAGACTAAGATGCAGGAGACTGATCAGACACACTTTGGAAGAGTTCTACTTTCAAGAACTGACATTTTACAATGAACTTTTATGACCACATGAACTTTTCTGATGATACCAAACTATGATTCTGAAGCCATATTTATTCTCACAATATAAATTGGGAGAGGGTTTCAAATTTTTTAACTGGTCTTTTACTGCATTCATATTCCAGCAGTTGCATTTACAGAGAACTATGTTTCATGAACACAAATAATATACAGTGAGGCAGGCCTGCATTTTGGTAAAAGGACGTAACTGAAGCCAGGACAGTAATTTCTTCAAGGTTATTTCTTGCTAGGCAAAGCAAAGACCGAGGTAGAGCTTCTTGTCTCAATTACACAAGCAAAACCTCTGTCTCTGCCTGAATTAAAGGGTTGATCACTGTGGTTCTCCCTTTGTGATGGCTGAGGTGACAGAGCCCATTGTGTCCATTAAACTCCCCAGACTGGCCAGGTAATGGTGTGGCAAAAGGCTGATGCTTGGATCCACACCTACCTAAGGACAGGTGGGTTGTGGCTTTTCTCATTTGCAAAGTGGGGACCCCCTTACTCACAGGCAAGATAGCCTTTCCCTTCTCCAGGGGATCTTCCCAACCCAGGGATCAAACCCAGGTCTCTCGCATTGCAGGCAGATTCTTTACCAGCTGAGCCGCAAGGGAAGCCCAAGAATACTGGAGTGGGTAGCCTATTCCATTTCCAGCAGACCTTCCCGACCCAGGAATCGAACCAGGGTCTCCTGCATTACAGGCAGATTCTTTACCAACAGCTATCAGGGAAGCCCTATAGGCAAGATACATGAATTAAATGAGCCAATGCATGTAAAGTGGTTTGCAGATCGCCTGGCGCTAGCAAGTGGCATCCAATATATTATCTGTCACTTTTATAACTTTGAAAAATTGGTTGGGAAACATGTCATAGGCAGAACAGAAAGAGTCATGGCTGGAGATTATGTACTACAAATTCTACACACTCTATTTATGAAAATACACCCAAGTGCAAATCTCCTGTTTGAAACAAAGAGAGAATGATTTTTGTTCCCTTGCTCATGATCTACCACCCACTATGAGAATTCAAGGAAGAAACTCCTGGGGGAAAGATGAAGCAAAATGTGAAGTAAGTGTCTGGGGCCTCCGAGACTCATGGGTTTGAAATGAGAAGCACTGAAACCAGTCCAAAGGACAGCAATCCCTGCTGGGCCCCGAGGTCCTCTTTGCACCCCAACGGGCACAGCCTCCCACGCGGCATGTTAGAATTAAACTTTTCCACACGATCAAAGCACAGGGCTGCCCTCTGACTGTCTGAGTGCAGTGCCATGTTCGACGGCCAGGCAGCTGGCCAGCTCCCACTTATTAATTTGGCTTATCCAGGATGCATTCGAGCAGACAAACAGGAGACCTGAAGACTAAT